GATTTTTTTCCGCCATAAGAACCTTCTCCTTCTTTAAAATCGTCTTCGCCAAATCGGTGTAGCAATTCTTATGGCGTGACAACGGGAAACGGATTTTATTTATAGATTAGATTACTCTTACAAGTGTGGGACCTATGTAAGTACATATTTTAGCTACTTTGACAAAACTTTAGACTTTGTGTTACGTCTAAATTCACCGTAAACAATGCAAAACCTCGCTGGAACTTACAGTAATCTACCTCTACATATCAAAAACGTAAAATTTAACCTCATTAGAAACTTACATACGAACGAAGTATACAAAAGAATATGTATCAAGTCGATGATTGTCCCACATTGAAAGGAATGTGGGGGCCGAAGGACAGGTGTATGTGATCGATCGATGCCAAGTCATTAAACATTAAAACCTATCTGTCTGACTTTCAGTCTACCTGAATAATAGAACACAATGTCCTTGACACTTCAAGTCGACATAATTGTAACCAGCCTTCAATATTTATTTAGATTCATACTTTAAAAACTAGCCTTGTTGTTTAGGACAATGCAATGAGTATTTCCAATGCTGTTTGTTAGTTGAAAAAACTCTTTATAAGCAACATTATTCTCTTATTCTGTTCGTTAGTCTCGCTAAAACTCCAAAACGGCTGGACCGATCTTGAATTATTTGTAAAAGTTCAGACAAGGTTTAAAAAGTGAGAAAAAAAATGTTTGTTATTTTTTTTTAAACATTATGATTTTCTCCTGTGTCGTGGGTGCGTTTACAAACACACAGGTTCACACATACAATGACACTCAGACCCGAAACAACAATTAGTGGATTACAAGCATCAAGTGTTGTTCCGTGCGGGAATCGAACTCGCGACACGTTACACGGCACGCGCCAACCGTGCAGTCAGTTATGGTACGAAGTTGGTCGGGGTAAAGTTCTTGTAAAGTGTCTACTTAATATATTATTAAGTAAATTGATTACAAAATATGGTGTAACATGAAAACGTAGTTAGTAATTTTTTTATACATATCATAATATTACCAGTGCAAACGTTTGTCAGTATCATTAGAAGTGTTTAGCAACCAATCTGATAATGGGCTTGTATACAAAACTGCGATGCGAATTCGCAATGCAGAAAATTACCAAAATTTCGTGCGATAAAGCTGTGGACAAAGCGGACCATTCCTTCGACGACCGTCAACCGTACTAAATGTATTTTAAATTGAAAATTAGGTCGTGATATAGATCGTAAACAGAAGTGTGTACTTTTGTTATTGCTTAGGATATACTGGAAAAAGAAACAAAGAACAAAGATTCTGGGAAGATAACATTTTGATGCACGATGTGATTCAATTCCATTGCAATTGCCAATTCATTCCTTGCCATGCGTAGAGGGAGCTCACATATTTTTGCGATGCGACGTCGAATCGCAGTTTTGTGTACGAGCCCTATAGTACGAGTAGTAGTAGTAGTAGTAGTTAGTAGTTATGCGAGCCTATAATGCTCACACAAGAAGAATGCTAATAGAATGTCACCGGAAAATTAATTAGAGAGAGTTTATCAAAGTATAAGTCAGTATTGACGTATTCAACCTGTATGGGTTGAATGCCTTCAATGCACTGTCAAACATGCTCTTGTAAAATGTGCATATTTAATTAGGCCGATTGGGAAATAACACTAGACAAGTAAAAATGCAAACAACCAAAAATTAATGAAGATGGCTTGTACAGTAGTATATACAATGTTTTCCAACTGACGTGTAAAGAGAATATAGACTCCCCCCCGCCCAATTACCTGGGGCTTATAAATACAACTATTATGTGCAGGTATAGTGCACCCACTCCCTAATTCCTTATCGCTGTTAGGGATAAAAAAATGTGATAGATATGATCTTTAAAAAATAAAAATACACAATATATGTATTTAATGTGAATTAGGTCATATTTATGAGTAACACACGACAATAGAATAGGTCATGTATATGTACATTTGAACAAATATGTATGTACCTACCTACTCATTTTCCATAGAATCTATATTGATTTTATCGGAATATAGTCCATCCATTTATACTATTGTTCCACGTCAGCAATGATGTGTACCTAATATTACATTATAGATAGGACTTTATTAACAGAAACCCATTAAGTTAAGGAAGAACATAAAATGATTTGGTTTTTGTTTTTCAGAAATATACAATACCCCCTTTTTTACTTAAATGGTTAAACTGATTATATTTGCAACATAATAAATAACCCAAAATAGCATTTATTAATTATACTAAATATCACATAATAGTATTTGCCTAAAATAACTCCAATTTTAAAATCTTACTTCGAGGCATGACCGTATAGATCTCACGCTTTCGAACATAAAACAAAAAAAAAATGTTATGTTTACGTAACTTTTAATTGGTTTTCGTTGTAGCAAACTAGAATGTTTTGTTGCTATTGGTATTAGCTTCCATCCAATCAGCATTCGGTAGATTTCACTCTGATTGGCACGTGCCTCGTTAATCGTTCTATAAAACTTTATTATTTCTTCAAATAGCCAATCATTGTGTTTTCATGTGGGCTCGATCATTGTTATTTTCTGATAACAATCATGTAGAATTATAAAACTAAACTTGAAGAAACATACTCAGTAGTACTCAATTATATTAAACAGTAAAGTATTATTTTTCTTTTTTATTTATTTATTTTAAATATAAATTTTATAATATACAATAAAATCTGATAAAAATCTTATTTCCCTGTACAAATTAAATTGGAATACTGTAATTAAATGGATTAGTAAAGGCCACTCTGACATTTTGATTACTGTAATTATCTAATTTTGTACTCATTTATGTAGTGGGCTTACTTTTACACAAGTATCTAATTTGGAAAACAATTGTAAGAATAAAAGGACCTACATTTTCCAAGGACTCCGAATGTCCTAACAAGCAACTGAATAGTCGGATCATCGAATAGACCTCTGAAACTTAAGTGTAGGAGAGCCTTGCTTCGGCACGAATGGGCCGGCTCGACCGGAGTGATACCACGGCCTCACAGAAAACTGACGTGAAGCAACGCTTGAGTTGTGTTTCGTCATGTGAGTGAGGTTACCGGAGGCCCAATTACCCTCCCCTTCCCCAATCTCCCCAATTCCTGAATGTCCAACGATCCTCAAACTCCTAATCCCCAAAAGTCCGGTGACGCACTTGTAACGCCTCTGGTGTTCCAGGTGTCCATGGGCGACGCCGATTGCTTACCATCAGGTGATCCGTCAGCTCGTTTACCGGCTTATGCCATAAAAAAAACAATTGGTAAATAGTACTTAATATGCACGCCTGAATTACTAGTGTGTCACAATCACTAACTAACGTTTGACCCTTACCCACCCCTTTGATAAATCTTATCCAAAAACCTAATTCAGTATTGGACGCACTGACTCGACTTTATCGCAGTTTTAGACATCACATCGTAAACCGACCCAGACCCAGTAGCCGTTTACAAAAGTTAATGAATTCCACCTATTCAAAAAAAGGAAAGCATTTTTCACCATTTTTCTAGTGAATGGCGGTCACCTTGAACTTTTCCATCGATTGCAATTCTAAGTATACCTAAGTAGCTCATATTGACGGTTGCTTTCAACTGGCGTGTCGGTAAAGCTATATGGCTTATCTTGTATGCTACTTCTAGGGTATGACATGTTATACATAATTGCAGGTTTGATGTTACACGGCGGATTAATGGTAGCTTTACTGACGTTGTACTTGAAAACATAAACGGTTTGTTTGAAATGGGTACCTACAAATAGTAACTTTTCTTTATAGAAGATTTGTATTGAACGACTTTTTTTATGGGGGGAAAATCATCGAATGACTGCTCCCGCCTGGAAGAGGCGGGAGGGAGTGTCAGACTCTTGCTGACTAAAAACCACCCCGTTCCTTCTCCTGCACGTCGAGCCGGAGCCCCGGTAATCTGTTAGGTTCTCCGCGACTATTGAACGACTAGTTAGGGCTTATTTTGAACTGATCTTAAGCTGATGCTTGAGATCAGTGCAAGTGTTATGTTAGTTATGTTCTGAGCAAGCATTAGCATAACGATCATGATGAGATTAAATTCAGAGTTGAACAAAATGTAAAGTTTTCGATTTTGAGGTTTCGACTTTTTGGACTGATAACAAAACTACATGTATTCAAATCGTGAAATATTTATAAAAATATTTTTCAATATTTAAGTAATGCATGAATTCTCACGAGAAATAAATAATATTAGATATTAATATCGACCTAGTTCGCTGCGTCATCGACGTTATTAATGGCTGCCACGTGTCTCTTTGGACATAAAGGAATACGAATAAATGTATGATTATCTAAATACACGGTTTTAAAATATTAACGGCCATGATAAAATTAAACACACTATGCATAATTGGTTATAAGCATGACTTATCTACGAATGGTATTATTATAATAAGTAGATGGGCATTTATTATGAAGAAGGTAACATTTATTCTAACGCAATCTTATACTCTTATACTATTATATAAAGCGGAAGAGTTTGTTTTTTTGTTTGATTGCGTTAATCTCCGTAACTACAAGTCTAATTTGAATAATTATTTTTGTGTTGGATAGAGCATTAATCGAGGATGGCTATAGGCTATAAAACATCACGATACGACCAATAGGAGTTGAGCAGAGCCTGTGAAACCGCGCGGAAGTAGCTAGTTCAAGAGAAATAATACAATAATATAAAGAACGATAGTAAAACAAGATCGGAGTAAGATTGGATGCATGTCTCACTCGTGTCTCAAATTATTATTACTAACTTTTACATAATATACTCAAAAAGTACTATTTATTCTCATTTAAGGCATTGGCTGCCAATAAAAAACTGTTAAAGGCAAATCCTCCGCTATTGTCGGTCACCGGTGACTGCCATGGCGTTTAACGTGTTAACAAGAATATCAATAAAGACTTTAAAAATACAAACCTGTTTACATTTTTATCTTCATATTTTACCAGGTCTGGTGATTAAGCGTCATAACATAAGGATATGGTGCCATGACTGTGACATGGCGCGCTTGCAGCGCGTGGTGTGGGAGGGGCACGGCTCTCGACTGCTCAGCGAGGTCTCCAACCAACCAGTCGTGAAGAAGTTTCTGGAAGCTGTTCCTTATATCATGGTGAGAGTCGGTATTTTAATTTAAGTCCTAGTCAACTTTGAGTTTAGTCAAACTTAACTAGGAATTAAACTATTCTATGGTGGTCTGTCAAGTCCTTTTCAAATCCCCACCGTTCTTATTTTCAAGTAAAACGTAACATACATTATGAAAAGAATTTTAAATTGTACAACGTTTAAAGTCGTAATATCTCAGACTTTATTTATTAGTCATGCGCAGATTACCCAGTTATCTAATAATTGTAACTTTATACGAAAAAATTAAAAAGTTTTGAGCTAAGTTTATTTTTGTGGCCCTGGGTAATCTGCGCATGCAGATGCCACAGAAATAAACTCAACTCAAAACAAATAAAGCACAGTTTCTGTAACCACCTATACAACTTACTTGAGCAACTATGTATTAAAACAAAAAATTGTAAAATTTTCAGAACACCATCAGGGACATTCACGCGGCTGTGGTGCAGAATGATCTGGAAGGTCTGATGAAGCATGCTGGTGATCCTGTCCCTCCTCAAGCCCTGTCCAGTAGAGATGCGAACAATATGACAGTTATGCACAAGGTATGCACATCCTTACATACTGATTATATAAAAATGAGTCTCCTTTCACGTCAGTCTATCCCTCTGTGTGAACGCAGTTAACTTAATAACTGTCGGGCGCATTTTAGTATGATTTTCATCACATGATAGTCAGACTCCTGCAGAATTTTTAAAATCTATACTTTATCGTAATTTTGACAACACCGGCAAACCGCGGGTAGGTAGTTAGTTTACCTATAGGTAATAACTTAGGTAGGTTATATACTTAGTTAATACTATAATAACAGGCAATGATGTCTAACCTTGTATAAGTTGTCTTCTTCGCCAGCTGTTGGTTTAACGATAGCTTATAGATACTGACTGAAAGTAAATCAATAAAAAAGTAATTGTGGATAAAAGAAAGCGGACAGGTGCAGACTCATACATCATTATGAGTGGTCACAAATGTCAGAACTATAACTATGATTCCTGGAAGTAATAATTATCTTCTAGTGCAATTTTATTTTTTAATAATTTGTTTAATAATATTTGATTATTTTAGAAATTAATCCTTTTTCAAGATAATGAAACACATAACATTCGTCATACAATAACATTCGTCAAATAAAATGATAGAAATTAATATTTCATTTATTTAACAACAATTAACGAACCTGATAAACAGGCGGCAGGTTTAGGCCACGGCGGTATCCTGAAGTATATTGCTGAAAGGTACCCACAAGGTATAAACGACGTAGACAATGATGGCCGCACACCACTACACTACGCTGCAGCCATGCGAGACGACCAACATACATACAACACACTAGTCAGTCTTGGGGCAGATGAAAGTGTCGTCGATAATGTAAGTATTGATGAATACATACATACACATCGATGACACTTGCATGCTCAGATCTATTGAGCCAGTTTCACTACAATCTAATACTCATTTTCTGATTTCTAGAAAAATAAAACACCAGCCTATTACATAAATAGGCCCCAGGAGATAGACAAAAACATGTTCAAAACACTGCCTGATGCCCCCAGAACACCATCAAGTGCATACCCAAACTCCTGGGACTGGAAGTTATTGGACACTGAGGTCATAGCTGAACTAAATAAAAAGTCTAGGAGGAAGAACCACAAAGCGTCCAATGAGAACATTTCGTCAAAAGATACTAACACTAACACAATTTCTGAAAGTACAGACAATCGTATTGGTGGGATGAAGGGCAGTAGCACGCATGAACTCATTAATAATTTGCCTGAACTAGATGATGCAAAGCAAACGAAAGATGATATTGAGAATCACATTGCAAATGTAGAAAGTAACAAGGTGAGCATTGCATGTCACGATTTCACGGAATGTTGTTAAGTTGCGATGCTTTTTTTATGAACATCTGCATGAATTTTTATTTTATGCATTTTAGGAATCAGAAGTAGGGGAAGAAAATCACGAACAAGAGCAAGAACAAGAAAACGAACCAAATGCAGAAGAAGAAACTGAAGATAAACAAGAACATACTAGTGATGCCGAAGAAGCAGTCGAACACGCTGAGGAACATGCTGAGGAACAACGTGAAGAACATGCTGAAGAACATGCTGAGGAACATATTGAGGAACATACTGAGGAAAATGCTGAGGAACATAATGAGGAATCAAAAAAACCTGACGATGAGGCGGAAAACACGGCTTACGAGTCAACTGACCATGTCGACGAACCAGCCAATGATGAGAAATCTAATGCACATGTTAATGAAACTCCAGCAGATAGTGTTCAAGTCGTTGAAAATAATGAACATAGTCATGAAAATATAAATGAAGAAAAGAAAGAGCCTGATGCAGCAAAAGAGGAAAATGAAGAAGCTGAGACTGAACCCAAAACAGAAAAAGATAATGAGGAGGAAGTAGAACATGACGAGACCAAGCACATTAATGACAATGATCATGTGCACGAGCAGAAAACTGATGACGACGGTGATGAACAACAATCTGATGATAACGGAGATGAAGAGCCACATTCAGGGCCGCATGATAATGAACCAAAAGAAGAAACTCAAAATAATGAATCGCATAATAATGAACATGAAAAAGATAACCATAGAGCGGAATCTGCAAAATATATATCTCAACATAAAGAAGAGAACAAAGATAATGAATCCAATCATGATGACAATGAAAGCAATGCAGATGCAGAGGATTTCGGTGCTGCTTCAAATGAAGGTAATACCAATGGTGAACACACAGAAGATGATGATGATGTTCAAGTGCAAGGAGAAACACAGTCTGAATATAGTGATTCGAATCTTAAGAGTACAGCAGAACTGCCTCACTTGGGAAGTGCCAAGAGAGGTAAACCCGAAATCTCTTCTGGCACTATACACGAAACAATCAAAACATAGTCCTCGTAATTTTAATCAATTATAAGGGGGTCCCTGACAAGTTCAATATTTTTGATTATTTTGCTAATTAAGGAAACGTGACCGACGGCCGAAGCACACAGGAAAGTCTTATAGAAGGTGTAGTGAATGGTGAAGCCGAGATGGACTCACAGGATGCAAGTATGACGCAAAGAGATGGATCAGTGCACGGAGAAGTCCTCGTAGTTGTAAGTATATTATTAAGTTGTACCATCAAGTAAGACAATCGACCGACTAAAGAAGGTAATAAGTAAATTGATTAGTTGATTGTGGTGTTTATTAGACTAGAAGCATCATTGTAGCACTGTGTATTCTCACAGACACCTCGTAACACCACTGTCATGAATTGATTTGCCGGCTTCTTAGATATCTGTACTTTCTCAAGTAATTCTATTAGTCAGCGATTGTAGTTTCTAACACCACCACATGAAAATGAATATTTTTTAACGCTACTAATATTAATTTTGTAATTTCGCAGGACAATGAAATAGATCCAGAAGTTACTGATTTAATTAACAATGCAAATATGGAAATGTTAGCCACATTAGTATTAAACGGAGAAGGATCAAGGCTTATAGGAAGGCATTCTGGGAACTCTGAACTGCAAGCGTTCCTTGATAATGTACCAACGTATATGGTAAAGTTTATTCCAACAACGTAACGTCTACATTTAACACAAGAAAAAGATGCAATAATGTTATTAAATTTTAGCAAAAAATAAACAAAGTCCACGTAGCAGCAAGAGAAGGTAACATAAGAGATCTTCAAGCAGCTTTGGATAGACGGAAATTTGCAATAGCTCGCGATCCAATATCACCCAATGGAGCAACCCCATTACACGTGGCAACAATATTTGGAAAAACCAACATTATCAAATATTTGGGCGGCAGGTTTGCTATTTTAAAACCTTTATATTCCACAACGGAAATATTAAATCATCAGCGACACGTTGATCTTACTGATAATTCTTTCAGATTTCCCGAAACCCTGTCTGCGGTAGATTTTGAAGGAAGAACGGCTTTACACTATGCGGCTGTCCTTCCTGATAATGGGCATTACTACAATCTCCTTCAACAACTTGGTGCCAACTCGAAAGATTTAGATGATGTAAGAATATTTAATAGGATTTGCATACATGACATTTTTTGTAAAATATTTTACTCGTAATACTCATAGTCAAAGTATTTATTTTGTAGAGTGGAAAGTCAGCCGAAGAATATCAAAAAAATCCAACTCTGTTACCTTTTCATCAAATGTTATCAGATTATGGCATAAGTGAAGACGCAGCGCAAGACATGTTCTCCGATAAAGGTATGTAAATATCTAGGATGAAGGTCGCTTCTGCAAATGAAAAACGCACAACAAATGAAGAATTTCACTAAGCATTAATTGTTGTAATAATAAAAATTTGCTTGTTCTAACTTGAGTATGTCTAGTGCCCGAGGATCAAGTCTCATCTCGGCGAGCTCTGGATACACCTGAGGCTTTGGATACCTTGGACCGATGCTATCACCTGTTAGCATCTGCAAGACCAGCTCGCACACCGTTATCTGCATCGTCCAACAGAGCTACACCACCACTCGTACTTGCACGGTTCCTAAAAAAGCCAATTTTCGATGTAATAAAATATAGAATTACAAAATTAGACCATGATCTCTTTGATGTCATCTGGCCTGCTGTCAAAAAGCTCCCGGATAGCAGAAATATTATTCAAACTGTGGAAGAAGATTTTCCTGGAGGAGTCACGGCCCCTGATTATTATGTTTATGACGTATTCAATGAGTTTTTGATACCCCTTGTAAAAGATCTTCATAATATTAATGTTAATTCTGAATTGCCAAAACACCCCACTTCAAACTTTATGGGTACCTCATCAGCCAAACTATCTGCTGAACCTCTGGTAGAAATAAATATTGACCCCAACGACGAATTTGTTCTATCTGGAGTAATAGAATGTTCACGCAATTTGGAAGGTTTTGAACTCCCATTGAACTTGAAAGTGGGTAAACTGGAAACAATAGAAAGAATCGTAACCACACTCTTAATGAAAGATGAATTTTCGAAGTTTAGCGAATTTTCTAACCCTGAATCTGACCAAAAAGGTGGCACATACTACACGTTAAACGAGGTATTAGAAAAGCCATCAGAAATATGTGCCACATTAGCATCTTGTGGTCTTCTGATAGCTCTATGCGATAGAGATGAAATTGATGACTGTGCAAGATTACATGGAAAGCACTGGCCTTACGGTCGCGGCGTATTTGTCACTGATGACAAAACCGTAGCGGTATGGATAAACGTCCATGATCATATTCGTGTACTTGTATCTTCAACGCAAGACTCTCCGGGAGAAATTGGCTTGCCCTTCAGCAAACTTTCTTACATCATGACGTATCTTCACGAGAAACTTGATTTCACATGGGACACAAAGTTGGGATATCTTTCTGCGAGACCAACATTCCTGGGAGCAGGCATTCGCTTTAGCCTGATTGTGAATTTTCCAGGACTGTCAAAAGATCCAGATAATATGAAACATCTCTGTGCCATGAGAGGTTTGCAGTACCGAGAAACACTAAGTCCTGATATTGCTAGGATCAGTAACTATCAGTGTTTAGGAGTTACTGAGACGAGTTGCTTCAACGATTTTGCGACGGCTACATCAAATTTACTACACCTGGAAAAAGATTTATCAATGCAAAATTCAGCACACATTGCAACGATGTTGTCTAATATTTTCCGTAAAAAAAGAAATAGTATAACTAGTCATGATAGCCCAGAGAAGAGGGAAAAATATTAAATGTCACATAATGTACAAATAACCTACTTATTTATTTTTCACAATCACATAATGTTCACATATCACAATTAATTTATCGAATGTTGGAAAGATTGTAGGTACTGATAACGTGCCTATGTATGGTTGCAGCTGAGCAACATCTAGATAACTATTTGCATCTATAAAGTTTTAGGTCAGTACTCAATAAATTATTTGATATCCTTGTGAGGTGGCGTGTTCGTGTGAGTCTTACACCAGTGGAGTCACTGCAAACGTTCACACTTGCACATCAAATAGTAACTTAATACGCTTTGGTCTACTGCACGCTCACCATCAACCATTTCTGTCTTTCCAACATTAGATACAGGTGTGACGTTGAAAATGTACTGTCCTGTCTTTAGTTTGTGCTTTCTAGACATTAAGCGTTGTAGAAATATAGTTCTTTGTATATCAATGACTTAAATTGAACGTTTGTGCCTATTTTCCTTAATATATCATCAACATACGATTAATAACTCAATCTGTCCATAAGTTTCATAGCATAAAGCGGTTTATATTGTGTACGTTAAACGGTCGATCGATAACAATAGGCCATATCAATTATGACTGGCGAATGCTAATAGTAGCTTCTGTCCAGTTCCCACTACCACCACCAACCATAATCGTCTCCCACCCACTGCCCCCACCAGATGTTCATGTTCGCGTAAAAACCCACGTGTTTGATGTATTCTCGCACCTTCCCCCTCCCACGCAAACCTATTGAAGGCCGACACTGAATAATTGATCGGTTTCAGGCACAAGCCACCCCGACAATGGCCACATGGACATTCCCATCTTTCGGACCGAAGAGGGCAGATACCTCGCTAAGTGTAAGCTCCTATTTAAAGTTTAAAATAGTTTTTTAATAAGTTCGTTGTTGGTCAATGACAAAATGGAATGGAAGAACAAGAAGGAGGTTGATTTGAACGATGTGTTCACAGCTCTCGGCGATCCTTTGATCAAAGGTCTGACCGAGGTGGCTAATATAAAGCCTAAAGATCCGGTCGCGTTCCTGGCCAGTTTTCTTCATAACTTTCCCGAACAGGAGAAATCTAATTTAGGTACGCAGGTGAGCAAATATCTATCACTTTATTATTGTTTTGTCCAAATCTATGTTATTATAATTCCGATAAATATTTTTGCACATAATAGCTACTTTTTATTTTTTTTCTTGATAAAAGTTGTTTCACTAAAATAAAAACATCTATAACTTATACATAACATAACAACATCATCACTCGTACCCGGAAGTTCACCATACACAATTTACTTAACGCTGTCTTAGTTAAGTTTGCATGTGATTATGTTGGACACCTTTAATACTGATAAGCAACGAAAGAGCAAATTATTTAAAAGTGTAATAACACGGGCTCAGGTATCCGAAATGATAGTGACACGAGAAGCAGCAGAAGTAGAGAACGAGCAACCGGCGCCGGCCGCAGCCGTACCAGTACCATCAAACGCGGTGACCGCCGTCCGCAACCGCACGGCGACCAAACAGCGGCCCATTGACATCGTCACCGTCGACCCACAGCCCGTCACCAGTCCTGATGCTCCCGAATCCGCCTTCAGTAGTGCCACTAGAGTGAGTTTACATAACCTTTTCCACTTAGATAATTGTCTTTCCAATCGTAACAACTTTGATTGCTTCAGGCAATTTCAGCCCTTTGTGACTTGTATCATTAAGTCGAAGTCCGTGGGTGGAGAATTATAGCCGTCCCATATCGACTCGGTTAAACTGTCCTAGTTATTAATTGAACTCTTTGTTTTCTTTACTGACCCAGTTGCGTATGTTCTTGCTTAAAAACCTTTTAAATCTATACCCACCACTAAAAATACACTTCACATTACTGACTTAACAACAATTCTTCTATAAGGATGAACATGGACAGTCAATGCTGCACTTCGCAGCAGCTCGCACACACACACGGAACGCGCTGTTCCAGCTCTTGCAGGAGTCAGACATCAGTTTGGGATACAGGGACGAACTGTACAGGACTGCTCGAGACGTCTCCATACAGGCCAACGTTCCTGAGAACACCGTAGAGATTGACAAATGGCTGTTACACATGGCTGCTAGAGGTAAAGACATTCTAGATTAAATTAAATAATTTATACAAATGTTTTCTAAATATCCTTTTGTCTATGAGGTTTACGATGATTTTGTTAACAGGTAATACGGAAAAGATAATGGAGCTATTAATGGAAGGCTACGATCACATATTGGATGTGGTTGACGAAGAAGGATTGCCCATAACTGAAGTTATAGCACAGCGCGGAGACACAAATATGAGCAACTTACTTGCTTCCATTCCAGCTTTTGAGGTAATTCATACGCGATTGCTACGTTGAAATAAAATGTGCTATATGAAAGAAAGAAAGAAAGAAAAACAGTTTATTTCCATAAACAAAATATAGATTAAAAAATTATAAAAAAATTATATATACAATCGATGACAAATTTGCTGCGCGATTGGCACTGATATGTAGTAATGTCTGATTACTAGCTACTATATGGTGGTATAATTGCAATACTGCTACATCGTCGCTGCATTGTCAACTACGCCGTAGTAAAAATGACTACGATACTACGCCGTAGTAAAATTACTACGATACTACGCCGTAGTAAAATGACTACGATACTACGCCGTAGATCGCAATTAGTACGATACTACGTCGTACCAAATTGCTATGACGCTACGCCGCAGCACAAAATTACTACGACACTACGTCGTAGCACAAAGTTACTACGATTACTACGTCGTAGTGCAGTAGACACTACGCCGCAGTTGTTCCATTATACTACGCCGTAGGAACTACAATTTATTTATCCTCTGATAGATATTTCGTCGTAATCCATTTAACTTCGTTTCATCAGGAATCCCGTGAATCCCTTCACGGTGCAGTTCGTCGTGGAGACTTGGCAGCTGTACAGGCGGCTCTGTCTGGTGAAGGTGGAAGGACCTTGGCTCGGTGTCAGAACACATTCGGTCGCACAGCACTTCATGTCGCTGTGCTAGCTCAGCATGAAGATGTCGTCTCCTATCTAGCGCAGAACTACCCTGAGTTACTGCGCATTGGAGATAATGTGAGTTTATTTTTTTATTGTTTTTAAACCTGGGACACTTTTATTTTCGTGCTGTTTTTTTTTCATTTAATAAAGTATAGTTTTTCGTCCTGTGTCATGAATATATGTATTTGAAACTATCAATTCAATAAAGTTTTTTGTGGACACGCGAGTTGGTCGTTATTTTTTATCTAATTAAAACATATTCTTTATTAGTTAATTGCTTTTACTGGGGGATTTCTGTTATTGAGGTTTTAGATATTTAATGTTTTATACTTTACCGATGTTAGTTGAACCAAGCGAATTACAATAAAAGGCTATTAATTTTTATTTGACTTCTTTCTCTTACGAAACAGTTGGAGCGCACACCGCTACACTATGCTATGGGCGTAGAGAAGATAGAATCACTGAGCAGGGTGCTGATCAGGGCTGGAGCTAAGCGCGTACTGAAGGACCTTAAGGGTCGACAACCCACGTACTACTTCATGAACAAATCAGAAATACTGCGGCTCAAGGAAGAAGAGGAAGTTTATTGATAAACCACAACAATGACATTACTTAACATTAAAATCATTAGAAATAGGCGTCAAAGATGGCTGTGGCTTGTACGAAAAACTTTGTAAAGGGCTTACGATAGATCAGTATAGAATTAGAATAATTACTCGCTTCTTATTACGCACATTTTGCAATCGCAACTCTTTAGTTGTAAACATCATCGTAGTTAATATTAGGAATAGGAAAATGATCGCGTGCCGAATAGTAGATATTTGTGAATTTTCTATGGTATGTATATTATACTTGATGGGACCCTAACGTATACCTTGAAAATTATTACTAAAATAAAACTAAATGTGGAAATAAAGAATTCGTTTTATTAACGAGCATTCAGCTTGTCTAGTATTATTAGCATAATCACCCTGATGATAAAATATATAATGCGACTACAACAAAATGTTAATCTAAAAATTGAAAATTTATTCTATAAAATCAAGTACATCGATTACTAAATAATAAGAACAAACATTACAACGTAGTTTAATATATTACACAAAATTGTGATTTTGACGCGCACACAAACAATTAACGTTCATAATCAGTTAATTTTAAAATACCTACAATTAATTATAACGATATCTCCTTAGATGTTCATGTGGGATACTGCCAGGGTATGGGATTTATATACATTTGTGATACGGTACCACGCATACCTGGAAAGAATTGTCATGTTATAGATGGGTAACGTTTCAAACTTTTATAAATTGGCAGGCAGTAGATGTCGTTTATGCTTCATTTTTCGAACGAACATCGATCAATTGGGTGCTTTCCTTAATCAAAAATAAATTATTTCGACCGTTCATATAATAAAATATATCAAAAAATAGAAGGAGATCCGAGATGTTGCTGAGTAAGTATGTTGTTATCCTTAACATGACCCTTGTGTCTAAACCTTGTGTTTTTCTTCATTCCGAGAAATTACATTCATTGTCATTGTCAGACAAGGATTGGGTATTTTCTTTAATCAAAAATAAATTATTTTGACTGTTCAATACAATAAGATATTAAATAATAGTCATACTTTCATTAATTGATTTTATGACCAACTTAATTTTAGTTTAGTTATGCTAAAAAAACGTGACGTCACATACACAATCTCGTACAAAATTCATAGAAAACTGTCAATTTTGACAGTTCGAAAAAAGTATTGAATTTGACTAGTTGGCAAGTACTCAATTAGACTTAAATATTAAATTGTTAAGTCATTAGACCAGGCAATAGGACACTTATTGGGTTTATATAGTCAATAGGAAACATATATGGCAATAACATACTGGAAAAGTCGATTAACTAGAAGTAGTAGATAAAGTATGAATTTTTTTTCTGGTAATCCAGAAAAACTCATCTATATAGTCCCATG